ACTAAAGAAAAGCTGGATGTTCAGGGTACTTTTTCTGTTTGTTTTTTTTTTGTGTTTTTTTTGAGAGGGAGTCTTGCTCTGTTGCCCAGGCTGGAGTACAGTGGCATGATCTCGGCTCACTGCAACCTCCGCTTCCCAGGTTCATGCAATTCTTCTGCCTCAGCCTACTGAGTAGCTGGGACTACAGGCCCACGCCACCACACTTGACTAATTTTTGTATTTTAAGTAGAGACGGGGTTTCACCATATTGGCTGGGCTGGTCTCGAACTCCTGACCTCGTGATCCGCCTGCCTCGGCCTCCCAAAGTGCTGGGATTACAGGCGTGAGCCACTGCGCCCGGCCCTTAACCCTTTTCATCTCTGGTCAAACTGACACATGCCATATAAACTGTGAACTATGACCAGACTACTTGGGTTAGGTGATTCATGAGTCCATGGACCCATATTTTAAAAATAGACTAAACGGCCACGTATTCAACATCTACTGTGTGTCAAGCACTCTACCAGCTCTGGTTAAAGTCCCACAACTCTGACTTATTAACCTCATATTTCAAATTTTTTTATTTTTTTATTTATTTTTTTGAGACAGAGTCTTGCTCTGTTGCCCAGGCTGGAGTGCAGTGGCACAATCTTTGTTTACTGCAACCTCCACCTCCCTGGTTCAAGTGATTCTCCTGTTTCAGCCTCCCAGTAGCTGGGATCACAGGCATGTGCCACCACGTCCAGCTAATTTTTGTATTTTTAGTAGAGAGGGTTTCACCATGTTGGCCAGGCTTGTCTCGAACTCCTGGCCTCAAGTTGATCCGTTCACCTCGGCCTCCCAAAGTGATGGAATTACAAGCGTGAGCCGCTGAGCCTGGCCTGTTTTAACTTTTTGAGGAACTGCTAAACTGATTTCTACAGCCATGACAGTAAGACATTTCTGTAAAGCCAATAGCAAAAACAAAGGAATAGAAAAAAGGCAAAATAGGCCCGTGGCTCCCATCTGTAATCCCAGCACTTTGGGAGGCTGAGGCAGGTGGATCACATGAAGTCGGGAGTTTGAAACCAGCCTGACCAACATGGAGAAACCCCATCTCTACTAAAAATACAAAATTAGCCGGGCATGGTGGTGGTACATACCTGTAATCCCAGCTACTTGGGAAGCTGAGGCAGCAGAATCACTTGCACCCAAGAGGTGGAGGTTGCGGTGAGCCGAGATTGCGCCACTGTACTCCGCCTGGGTAACAAGAGCGAAACTCAGTCTCAAAAAAAATAAATAAATAAAAATAAAGAAGAAAGGCAAAATAACACAGCTACAGGCTGTTCTGCCTATGAAGTAGCCAATCTTTATTTCCTTACTTTCCTAACAAACTTGCTTTCACTAAAAAAAAAAAAAAACACAGCTATAAAGAAATGAAGTACAGTGGAAAAACAACCATGACGGTTACTTCCCTATTTGAAACCAAGCTCTGCTGTGCTTACTATATGACCTTAGTAATGTTACTGAAGTTTAGAGCCTCAGTTTCCTATTCTACACATTAGTGTTAATACCATTTTTCAGGGTTATGATGAATAAAGAATAACACATATAGAACATCTAGTACAGAACTTAATAAGGAGTGCATATTTGGTAAACAATGACAATTTCTTTTTCTTTCTTTTTTTTGAGATGAAGTCTCGCTCTCGTCCCCCAGGCTGGAGTGCAATGGCACGATCTCCGCTCACTGCAACCTCCCCCTCCCAGGTTCAAGTGATTCTCTTGCCTCAGCCTCCTGACTAGCTGGGATTACAGGCGCCTGTCACCATGCCCAGTTAATTTTTGTATTTTTAGTAGAGACGGGGTTTCACCATGTTGGCCAGGCTGGTCTTGAACTCCTGACATCAGGTGATCCACCCACCTCGGCCTCCTGAAGTGTTTGGATTATAGGCGTGAGCCACCGCGCCCGGCCAACAATGACAATTTCTGAACCAAGCTAGACTAGGTTCTCCAATAAAAATACTACTGCAGGGTCACTGATTTATACCATGTTCATTTTTACTCTAAGGTGAGTAAACAGAAATTGAAGGCAAAGCTTATCACTTTAATAATAAATGTTAGGGCCGGGCATGGTGGCTCACACCTGTAATTCCAGCACTTTGGGGGACTGAGGTGGGCAAATCACTTGACCCCAGAAGTTCAAGACCTGCCTGGACAACATGATGAAACCCCATTTCTACTCAAAATACAAAAACTATCTGGGACTGGTGGTGTGCCCTTGTAGTCCCAGCTACTCAGAAGGCTGAGGTGGGAGGGTCACTTGAGCCTGGGAGGTAGAGCTTGCAGAGAGGCGAGACTGTGGCACTGCACTCCAGTCTGGGTCACAGAGTAAGACTCCATCTCCAAAAAAAAAAAAAAAAAAAGTGTCAGGACCTTTGCCTTAAATTAAGGTCTTTAATCTCATTAATCAATGATTCTTACTAGTGGCTGCACATCAGAATCACCTGGGAGCTGTTTTAAGTTCAGTTTAAGGTATAACTGGGTGGGGTGGGAGGCTGGGGGAGGGATAGCATCAGGAGAAATAACTAATGTAAATGACGAGTTGATGCATGCAGCAAACCAACATGGCACATGTATACCTACGTAACAAACCTGCACGTTGTGCACACGTACCCTAGAACTTAAAGTATAATAAATAAAAAAAAAATAAAAAAATAAAAGTATAACTGGGCCATCGCCGGGCTCACGCCTGTAATCCCAGCACTTTGGGAGGCTGAGGTGGGTGGATCACTTGAGGTCAGTAGCTTGAGACCAGCCTGGCCAACATGGTGAAACCCTGTCTCTACTAAAAATACAAAAATTAGCCGGGTGTGGTGGTGGGCACCTGCAATTCCAGCTACTTGGATTGCTGATGCAGGAGAATCGCTTAAGCCCTGGAGGCAGAGGTTGCAGTGAGCCGAGATCACACCACTGCACTCCAGCCCAGGCAACAGAATAAGCCTGTGTCTTAAAAAAAAAAAAGGTTTAACCTAAGTACAATAAAATTTACCTAGGGTGCTTTTTAATGCTCGACCTCAGACCAATTAAATCAGAACTGGATGAAAGATAAATGTTTGAGCATAGAGATATCCCAATTACCCCGATTTGATCATTACACATACAGGTTTTGTTTGTTTTTGTTTTTTGAGATGGAATTTCGCTCTTGTTGCCCAGGCTGGAGTGGAATGGTAAGATCTCAGTTCACCGCAACCTCCACGTCCCAGGTTCAAGTGATTCTCCTGTGTCAGCCTCCCAAGTAGCTGGCAGTACAGGTATTCACTACCACACCCGGCTAATTTTATAATTTTAGTAGAGACTAGGTTTCTCCATGTTGGTCAGGCTGGTCTTGAGCTCCCGACCTCAGGTAATCTGCCCACTTCGGCCTCCCAAAGTGCTGGGATAACAGGCATAAGCCACCACACCCAGCTGGTTTCCTTTTGTTCTTGCTGTTTTTTTTGAGACAGGGTCTCACTCTGTCACCCAGGCTGCAACGCAGTGGCAGGATCTCGGCTCTCTGCAACCTCCGCCTCCCAGGTTCAAGTGATTCTCCTGCCTTAGCCTCCCAAGTGGCTGGGACTACCCAGCCCACATACAGGTATTAAAATATCACATGTACCCCCAAAATATGTACAACTATCGTAATTCAATTTTTTAAAAAACAAAAAATCAGAACTGAGCATAAGGCGAGGCTTGAGTAGCTGTCGAGGTTTCCCAGGTGATTCTAATGTGCAGCCAGGATTGAGAACGCCTAATAAGCCACACTGAAGCACGTGCAGTCACTTATTCACTTAACCTCCAAGTTTCATATGGACAACATGATTTGAGAATAAAATTAAGCTTTGATTAGTTCTTTCAGAAACATGAATGTACTTTTTTTACTTAAGCTGCAGTCTAAAGTATTTCTGTAGCAGTTTTACATTGGCATATATAGTCATATATTAAGACTATGTACATGAATTCTCTCCAATGCAATGGATCTTCAGAAATCAGCATAGCTAGCTATTATACATATACTTTTTTGCATCTTCTTCAGAACTATTATCATTATATCAACAATTGAGTCACTTGTCATCCAGAGTAGTTTGGGTACGCTGTCTGCTTTGAAAATGTTGTAACTCTAGCACCTCACAGTGTTTTGCATATGGAAGATGTTATTTTGCTGAATAAAGCTTTTTTTTCTTTTTTGAGACGGAGTTTCCTGCTTAGTACCCAGGCTGGAGTGCAATGGCGCGATCTTCACTCACTGCAACCTCCCCCTCCTCGGTTCAAGCGATTCTCCTGCCTCAGCCTCCCAAGTAGCTGGGATTACAGGCATGCACCACTACACCCAGCTAATTTTGTATTTTTATTAGAGATAGGGTTTCACTATGTTGGTCAGGCTGGTCTCAAACTCCTGATCTCAGGTGATTCACCCACCTTGGCCTCCCAAAGTGTTGAGATTATGGGCTTGAGCCACTGCGCCCAGCCTATAAAGTTCTTATGGTTGTAGAGGAGCTGCATGAGTCTCTGCGAAACAAATAATAGCCTCAGAGCTTTACGTGCTTTATCTATGGGTTGGGATGGCTTCCCCACGTGGTTTTAGTCTGCCTGGCACAAATCATTAGGCCCTGTTCTACCGAGGGCTTAACAAAATGCTTTTCGTTCCCCAAAAATGAGGCCTTTTTTTTTTTTCAGACAGGGTCTAACTCTGCCACCGAGGCTGGAGTGCAGTGGTGCAATCGCAGCTCACTGCAGCCTTAACCTCCTGGGCTCAGGCGATTCTCCCGCCTCAGCCTCTGGAGTAGTCAAGACCACAACCATGTGCCACCATGCCTGGCCAATTAAAAAAATATATATTTTGTAGATACAGGGGCTGGTTATGTTGTCCAAGTTGGTCTCAAACTCTTGGCTTCAAGCAGTCCTCCCAAACTGCTGGGATTACAGGCATGATAAAACACACCCAGCCCAAAATGTGGCTTCAATCACAACGTCAGCGACTTTAGAATTAAATTAGTACCACTTACCTCTGCTTTCTCTGAGAGGCAGTCAGGCTATCCTCTTTTCTCTTACCCTTGCTAATTTCCTGGGTTTTCTTCATGTTTTTCTGGCGGGCAAGTTCTCGTTGATTTCCACCTACAAAGTCAAACAGTCATGCTCTTTTCCCATCTCCAAAATTATTAATAATTCCAATGAACAGGTCTTGTTTAAATGCATCTTTAGTTTGTGTTTTAATAGATAAACCAGCAGAGTAACAGACTGATGGTGTTCCCAGATCTGACAAAAAGGAAGTGGCTTAAAGGCAAACACTTAAAGACTTAAGAGTATTATCATCCCAATCAAGGTGGTCACTAGCTATAAATACCAGATATTTTAAAACAGATACTCGAATCTTGGGCCAGTATCCCAAAATAAGTTCTGGCTTTTGAGGGGAGTGGGTGGAAGGAGAAAGCTAGACACAGAGATCACAAGTTCAGCCCATCACTTGAGAGTTATCCGTATCTCCATGTAGAGGCGGAGAGGGGTGGATGGGGACTGAACAGATTGAAGGTAACTCTGCGAAAGGCAATGTGGGCCCTTTACGTCCTTATTCTAGCCACAACCCTGCAAGGTAGGCTTCATTGTTCTCATTTTGCAGAACAGACTGACCTAATACCTAGGACTAGTAGAAACGAGCATCAGATTTAGGACCTGCTCTAAAGCCTCCTGTTTTTTCGACTATTAGCTGCGAGAGCCAAACAAAAGAACCAGGGAGGCGACTCACTGGAGTTCCCGGTCCTCATTAGGCCTTAAGACTTGAGGTATCAGCTATAAACCTCCTCCAAACAAGGACCCTCCCCGGGCGGCCGTGTCCACATCTCCGGGGTGTGTTCTTTACCGCACAAACTCGCACCTAAGAGACAGGCACCCGTCCCGCCTGAGAAGCCGGGCCAGAACTACCCGCGAGCTCTCTCTCTGCAGACTGAAGCTGGGATTCCCGCCCTGCGGGACCCAAAGGGATTCTCCAGCCAGACCCCGCCTCCCCCGCCCGCTGCGCCTCAGCGCTAGGCTCCCACGCCGGACGCTCCCCGCAGCTTCCCACCCCAGTCTGCACACTCACGGGCCATGCCGACCACCGAGGGAGCCTGGAAGAGAGCAATTGGGAAAAGCAACGGCTCCCTGGCACTCTGGGCTACTGTCACCACTGTTCACCAGGAAGGCTGAGCCCGCGTGGGCCCTCCGCCCAGCTGCGCCTCCGCTCTGCTCCGCCAGCGGCCCCGCCCACTGGAGGCCAGACAACAGCCGGCGGCATGGCCGGCGCGTCACTGCGCGTGCGCGGCCGGGGCAGGGCCGGAGCTCCGAAGCTCGTGGAGACTTGGCAGCGCCGGGAGCCCTGCTGCAACAAATGCCTGGGAGATCCCAGAGAGAGCCCAGAAAGCGGGTTCTGTTCTGACTGAGGCATAGGCGTGTGTGGATTTTCCCTACTGTGCACCAGACACAGGGGCGGGGCTCCACCAGCTCCTCACCTTTTTTTTTTTTTAATAGGAAATGACAATAAACTCTACAATATATTACTTTTTGGCAAAGAACATTAGCTTTCATTCATCCCCTTGAGGAGGCGGAGAGTGGTGGATGGGAACTGAACAGATTGAGGGTAACTCTGCAAAAGGCACTGCTTATCCTTTACATATTTTCCTTCCTCATTCTAAACGCAACCCTGCAAGGTAGGCTTCATTGTTTTCATTTTGCAGAAGAGACAGACTTAACCGAGTAGGAATTGTTATGAGAATAAAATTTAAGACGGACTCTAAAGCCTATTTATTTTCCAGTTTATCCCAGTGCCCTTGTCACGATCCACAGTGCTTTACTAGTTTTAGGCTACTGACTCTGTGCTTAGGTTGTTTGGTGGGGAGAGGATGGCAGGGAGTGCAGTCTTAACCGCCATTCAGAATAGCCCAGAATAACCTCGGAACCTACATAAAAGCTGTGGACCATCCGTCATTGGTAGAAACACGTGTAGAGATGCTTCTATGGCTCATGTGGCATATAATTACATTGTTCACCTCTGTCATTGTCACACATACACAAGAATAAAAACAAAAGATAACATTGTTACAAACTGAGATGATTTGGATACCCCACATTGCCCTATATTTTAAAAACTTTTATTTTTGGAAGATCTGACATTTATACAGTACGAAAGCATTAGTAACAAGGATAACGAATCCTCAAGGAGATGCGACCAAACTTCAATTATTACCTCATACAATCGTCTATTTTAGAGAAGATGGAGAAAGTAAAGACTGAGGAGCTCTGGAGATGAACTGTCTGGGTTGAAAGTCCATCTCTACTAATTAGTAGCTATGTCAACTTGGACACTATTTCATTATGTTAAAGCTTTCTTATCTGTAAAATGGGGAGGCATGTACCTCCTTCATTAACTGAATTAATGTATGTGAAGTACTAGGTCCCCAGCATATGGTAGCACTCAATATGTTAGCTCTTACTGTCATTATTCCTTCAAATTCAGAGAGCCTGGCACACATCACTATCCTATCCCCACACCCCACCTTTCTTCCTTAATACTGCTAACATCTGTTTCCACTGAGTGAAGTAACTTGAAAGGAAAAGATTGACTTTCTAGCACCGTGTTTTGTTTTGTTTTGGAAACAGTGTCTCACTCTGTTGCCCAGACTGGAGTACACTGGTGCGGTCTTGGCACACTGCAGCCTCAGCCTCCCCGGTTCAGGCAATTCTTGTGCCTCAGCCTCCCAGTAGCTAGGATTACTAGATCTTTAGAGATAAGATCATCTAAAGAGGGAATGGGGCGGGATTGGAAGGTAAGTGGTAGAGTTGGTTTTTTGTTTGCTTGTTTTGTTTTGTTTTTTAGATGGAGTCTGGCTTTGTCACCCAGGCTGGAGTGCAGTGGCGCGATCTCAGCTCACTGCAAGCTCTGCCTTCTGGGTTCACGCCATTCTGCTGCCTCAGCCTCCCGGTAGCTGGGACTACAGATGCCCGCCACCACGCCTGGCTAATTTTTTTTTAGTAGAGACGGCGTTTCACCGTGTTAGCCAGGATGGTCTTGATCTCCTGACCTCGTGATCCGCCCGCCTCGACCTCCCAAAGTGCTGGGATTACAGGCGTGAGCCACCGCACCCGGCCGGTAGGTGGTAGAGTTGTTTTTGTATGTTCTCTCAATTTACTGTCACTGAACATTTTTATTTGCAGCTGAAAAATTTTGCAGTTTTTAAGTCGTAGGGCTACACATGATATACCCCATGTACACAAAATGTGTTGGGTATGTCTCTCAGAGAAAAGTAGAGATTTAAAAAATTACTATGATGCCACTGAGAATTTACCCCACAAACTTGTGTAACAAATGTCTTATGGCTTTATATTTAATAATAAAACTTAATCTGATTCTGATCCCATCCCTTTACTGGTGGGAAATTAAATCTTAGTCACTATTTACTTTCTGACCTGTAAAAACTTGGGAGAATGCCCTAGTTTCTTAAGTGGAACAGAAGCCCATCTGGGGAAAGGCCCTATGTCTTCGGTTTGTATCAGAATATGCTGTTCAAAGCTGTGTAGTCCTCCAAGATTCCTGAGACATCTGTAGCGGGGGATTCTCTCGAATTCTTGAGCTTCTTTAGATAAAACTGAGATCCCGTTCCTTTTCCAGAGTATTGCAGGGAGCCCACAGAATCCACAGACCTTCCCTTCCCTTCCCTTCCATTCTTCCTCTCTCTCTCTTTTTTTTTT